CGCTTCGGGGGTGCTCCGCGACCTCCTCCTCCGCTTCCCCAGGGTTGTCCGGGCGCCCTTGTCCCGGCAGAGGACACGGCGAGTTTCTGCGGACGTTGCTGTCCGCTGTCCCGGAGCCTTCGCAGAGGTGCGGCCGCTGCTGCCCTGGCTATGGCCCCCTGCCCTACCGCAGGGCCGCTCCCGTTCCTCTGCCGTTTCAGCACAGGCTGTGGAGGCATTGGTGTCGCCCTTTGATGCCAGTAGCAAAGTTATGCACTACGGTTTAGGTAGAATGGTTTGAATGTTGCCGTCCAAGCAGTGCCATGGCTGATTTCTGTGGGTGTTGCTAGAGGCCGTTTCTAGTGAGTTCTGCTCAGGCACCGTGCTCCTGAGGGGGCCTTCTGCTGTAATGTCATGATTCTCCTTCACCCCCTGGCTGAAGGCTGGGTTTTAGTTTGTTCGTGTTTTGGGTGTTTCTGTTGTTTTGGGTTTTTTCTTCTTTTAATGCTGTTTCCTGGCTTCTGTATATCTTTGCACCTGATGTTTAATTTAAAACTTGATCTTAAGTGGTGGAATTATTAAATTGAGTGAATCCTGTCACGGAAGTCCCTTGTGCAGGCTAGTAATGAGACAATAGCAGTCTCATGAGAAGATTGCTGAATTATAGCAACTTTACTGGCAGCTTGGTATCATTACAGTACTTCGTTAGTTTTGGTGCAGTCTTTCTGCCAGCTTCCTCATCTTCCTTCCCCAAGCAGGAGGAAAACTGCTTGGGAGGTTTCTGTAGCTGTGAGCAAGAGGAATGGGCTGTGTCCATCGCTAACAGAGCACCTGGTCAGGGACACTCAGTACTGTGTAGGGATCATCTCTGGTTATCTCCTCATACTGGAGGAAAAGGGAATTCAAATGTCATCTTGATTTGCAGTCTGTGCTGTGAGCTGAAGTTCAGAGGGAGTCCTTCTCTCTCCCTGCATACCTGAAGAGGGATGAGATGAGTAGGGGACTACTAAGAGAGAGCCAAAAGAGAATATTCACGCACTCCTTTCCTGGAGGCGTAATAGTATCCTGGTACCCTGTGAAAATATGCAACTTATATTTTTGTTGGGATAATTTAAAAATTTCTTCTCTTTTCATGTATGTTTTTAAACACATATCAACCATTTGTCTTTTTGCAGGGACCAGTTCATTGAAGGCTAATTTACTGTAAATGGCATTTCTGCTGGCACAGAGTGTAATGCTGATAACCAAACCCTGCACAATTTTATCTGGGAGGTGGCATTGGTTTGCTTAGTAGTTCTAGTAACAACTGGGACAGGTCACATGGAGTTTGATTCTACCCCATTATCCAGTAAAGAAGAATGTTTTGTTGACTACAGTATAAAGGATCAAAGCCTTGAAACTACTGCTGAAGCTTTTGAATTTATAAATATATACACGTCTAATTTCAAAATAATATGGATTTGATATGCCTAAACTCCTTATGCACAAAGTACAGTACATTTATGAATCTGAAACCCAAATCCTGCTGCGAGTTTGTAATTAGTTGGTAATGGTTTTCCACACATTCTAGTAGAAGTGACAGACATAAGAATAACTAACTTTCAAAATAACAAATATCGTGATTAAAATATTTTTTAATAGTTCTCTAGTTGCAATGGAACATATGAAAATAGCTCAGGTACTTTCATAATATTAGCATTTATGTGAAAGTCCATGTGTTTTAGTGTAAAACAATCTAATTGTTCTTACATTTAGTTTCTAGTAGGGAAATTAGGGTTGTTAGCTCCACTGTCATAAGAAAATCTAAATCTTGTGTAACAGGCCTGTATACAGAAATGAGAAAAAACTATCTTTCCTCTTTTTTTCTTTCAGTTTTTCAGCCATGGGCCAATTGTGCTGCATCAAGACAGCAATGGACCACAAGCTGCGTTCTTTTCGCCTCTTCAAAAAGTGATGTTGCCACCAAATACCTTTCAAGGGAAAGTGGCCTTTATAACTGGTGGAGGTACTGGGATTGGCAAAGGGATGACAACAACTTTGTCCAGTTTAGGTGCCAAGTGTATTATAGCAAGCCGGTAAATATTAATGAAGACATTTTAGAGCTTTCATTTAGTACTGAATGCTGAATAGATCTGTTTTCTTTATAAAATTGATCAATTTATTCTATTTAGTCTATTTCAGTACACTTTTAAATTATAATGTCATATTGTAAATACCAGGGACTTGCAGATCCATCTACAAGTGTGTAACCAGCAGTAGGAAGAAATAAACTAAAAGCATTTCTGTGAAAAACAACCCAGAATATTAGACATAAATTCAGCAAAGGCCTAAAAGAGAACATAATATGAAATGGCCATTGTTGAACATTTTGAATGTATTATTGCAAGTGTTCTCAATACAGATTTGAATTGCAGTAAAGAATTAAAGCCATGCCTTTTAATTCTTACGACTTTAAGAACAGCCCTGATTTTCCCTTAACAAAGATGATTTTTAAACAATTCTCTTAAATGGCACCACAGTAGAGACTAGAAAAACAATCTCATTTTTAATCAAAATAAACAAAAGTGTTGTGGGATTTGTCCAAATAGTGGTTTAGGTATTTAGTTTTAAATCTGAATGTGCATGTCCCTTCTAAAGTACTAGTAGAGTAGTAGCTAAAACTAAGTTTGTAATGATTATGTAATCAGAATAAAGTACTTTTTCTAGCTTACCATGCTTGATTAGCTTAAGGTAGCCTCCCCTTGTAGTCACTTCTGAGTTGCTTTGAAGTATCAGTAACCAGAAATTATTTAGATTTAAATAGTTTTCTTTCAGAAAGTTAGTGACTAAATATAGTTTCTATCTTAAAGCTCAGTTTTCATGAAAATCAGCAACACGCATGCGTGCACACACTTATAAAATGTTATTTTAAGGTTTAGCTTATATTTGCTCAGAAAAAAACATAACCAGATTTTATTAATCTGAATTGTAATTACATTTAATTGAAATGTAGTGACATTTTATACTTATTTCTAGGAAGCTCGATGTTTTGAAAGGAGCAGCAGATGAAATTTCTTCTAAAACGGGGAATAAGGTAAATTTTTACAGAATTGTGAATATGTTAGTTATACTTTAAATGGTTATGAGATTTTTATGCACTTATGTCCTTCTCTGGGCTTATTTAATTTATGAGTGATATCGTTTTGAAGTCTTACAGCTGCCTTTCCATTATTATATAGGTTCACGCCATCCAGTGTGATGTGAGAGATCCAGTTTCAGTTAAGAATGCTGTTGCCGAAACAATCCAAGTGGCAGGACATCCTGATGTAAGTGTTCTAGTGAAAGGGAAGAACTTCAGTCTTCATTACAGAAAATACTCTGCATAGTAGGTATTAGGAAAATGACTATGACAGAAAGTTAATGGAATCTAAAGAGGCACTAGACAAAAGTGGCCATACGTCAAGATAAAGCTAACAGTCACAGTTAGACTGGTTGCTCTATTCCTGTGGTTCTTAAAATACTTAGCGATGAAATAGACAAAACATTATTGTCCTTACTCTGAGGACTAATGGTTTCTTTGTAAACAGTGGCACAATTATGATAGGATTCTTTGAATTAATTAAGTGAACAGCACGTTGTCTTTAAATCCTCCTGAAAAGGTGACTTACCTGTGTTGGTACCAAATTGCACCTGTTGCTTATTAACAGAATGTTTCACAAATTAGAAATGGAAGTAATCATAAACATCATCTTTGGTCCTTGCTTAGCTTATTAAAATACACAAAGAAGGTTCCAACTTGAAAACTTAAGCTCTCGTAAAATGAAGGAAAAAGTCTTCAGTCAAGCTAAACATCTGGATTTTGATAGTCTGGCACAAAATACAGAGCTCTTTACATCAGAGTGTTGCTTTGAGAAGGGTGGTCTGGTGGAGCCTGAAGAATGATAGGCACCAAACTCTGATTTGGTCATGAGAAAAACAGCTCCGATTCTGCTAGCTGATAGAAAGTGTGATGAGGGTGTTAAATCTCGCTGACTAGCCTTTACATCAATGTTAAACTGTTTACTGTAGATTGAAACTGTCATCTGTGTATTGTAGACACTTTGCATTCACCAGTAGCTTCCTATAGACGTGAAAGAGAACCTTCTGAATTCTAAATGTGGTAAGAAGTGGAGAAACTATTTCTCACAGATGTATGCTATAACAGTGCTGTAAAATGAGACAGCTCACTATCCTGATTTGTAGACAAGGTACTCTGGATATTATTTTGACTGCTAGTTACTGCGGTTTTTGACCAAAGCACATCACAATCTCCAGGTTTTAAGTGTATGCAAAGAGGGAGGAGACTTCTTCCTATATATTACATTTTTAGTACACCAGTAATTTTCTGAATCAGGACTTCCCATGAGTTGTTCTTTACAGGCATTTCCTTCCTCTTTAATTTCGCATATTCTGTATGTTTAAGAGAGACTGCAGAGTAGATTGAGTATTCAGTTCTTTTTGCCTAGTTTTTCCTCTTAGTGACAGACATGACATGTAGGTTTATGAATATTGCAAGTCTGGGTGTCATTGCCACTGTGCATGTCAGGTGACATCTCGAAGATAGAAGTTAATGGCAGTATCATGTTCCTTCTGACTTTGGTTCATTCCATACCCAAGACTGCTACTCCCAAGTAGAAAGCAATCACTCTTTTGTCATATGGGTTGTTTGGGCAGTCATATATCTGCAAACCTCAAAGATCGTATCATGCAGTCCTTAGTTCACTAGTTCTATTACTGTGTCTTCACTATAGTTATTCAGTGATTCACGTAACCTTGTCAATATCTTGAGGTGTTTGGATTTTTTTTTCTTCTTCAAACTGAAGGGAAGCCTTTATATTGTATTTGCCATCTATATGTATAATTTATGGCTGTTGTATTTTATTTGTTTTATATTAATGCAATATATGCTGTGCTTTATTTTGTTACTGAAAATTCTAATGCCTTAATTTAGCCCAGAAGTTCTTCAGGACAAAGCCTTTGGTTTATGTGCAAACTTACATGAATCTAGGTGCCATTCCATAAGTAATACATCATTTTACTGCTTCAGCATGTTGCATTATTATTAAATACACAAGATCTAGCCACATAAGTTTTGATTTAAAAACTGCTTATGTGATGCTTAGTCCCCTTAAAAAAATGTATCTAACTTGCTAGCTTGAAGGGCTAAGCAGATGATATATCAAAAGTATCCTCTGTCTAATTATTGCTTGTAGGAAGGCAACAAGTGACAGACATCTGTTCGAAAGAAGTATTGAACTAGTTGCTTGCAGTTCACTAAATCATAGTATTCTCTTTGTCACAACTGATTAGACTTCCTGTATGCAGCAGTCAGCTAATCCAGGCTAAATTTAGTCATCAAGCTACCTGAACTTCTTTTGCTTTTATTCCCATGCATCCATTACATTACATAAAATAGATGACCTTGGAACTTGGTGGGGACAAACTTTTCTGTTAGGATGCACTTGTGACACTATGGAAAATGGTGACTTAAGTCACCTACATTTACAGTTCCTCGATACTCGACTAGCAACTACAGCAGTTTGGAAATACAGCTCATTTTCTGTTACTGATACATATCTGTGCTGCAGATGTTAAAATTTCTGATGGATTATTCTCTCTCTCTTTCTCCCCCTCCCTTCCCCTCATGTGCCATTTGATGAGGATATTTTTACTTTTCCACCTGGAAACACTTAAGATGTTCCTTGTAAATTCTTTGCTTTTCTCTCAGGAAGAGTTATTTTTAGATAACTCCTAGGTTTTCCTTCATGTGTTTTAGGTTGTGATAAACAATGCAGCTGGAAACTTTATTTCCCCTTCTGAACGACTTTCTGCTAATGCATGGAAAACAATAACTGATATCGTGCTTAATGGTACTGCTTTTGTAACTCTGGAAATTGGAAAGGAGCTCATTAAAGTACAAAAAGGTACGTTAAACTTAAGATAAATGGTAACTAAGCATTGTGACATAATATTATTACTTGCTTTCCTTGCCTATTATAGCCAGTTTTGAAAGTTTGAAAAGAAATGCAATTTTTAACATTCTACATTTTTTCTAGAACGAAACTTAATTTTCAGTAAAGTCATATTTACAACTAGTTTGTACTAGTTATAAAACATTTTTAAATTTTAAAATTTTAAAAATAAGGCTTTTTTAAAAATATGCTGTTATTTCTTTTGAGTCTTTTATATCTATGTTGATTTCATTGAGCAACTGAGCATGTGGCATTTATTAAAATGAAAAGCAAGTCAGGATATCACTTTGAATTTTCTTCCTACACTTAAATAAATAAAATTCACAGCAGTGGTATTTGACTAATAACACTAGAGAATATTACCTTTGAGATAATTTGAAGAAGAGTTTCAAAACTGAAATCGGTATTAGGTTTTATTTTTGCAGGTATAATTCTTATTTCTAGACTACCTAGGAGTTTAATCCAATATTTTAGCTTTACCTTAAAAATATGATAGTTCTTTGATATACTATTTAGCCAAAGATTTACTTAACTAGGTTATTGTCTTTAAGGGAAAGATAATGTATGCCCTTCTATGTTACATCATAGATTATATGCGAAGAACTGCTTTCATTTTACATTATCTTCTAGTTATGAGTTGAAAAAGATGAGCTTATTTTTTGATCAGAATGATATCCCCAATAGCATTTAAAAGCAGTGAGGTATATTACAGTTTTCCATGTGCCCCCACTTCTGAATCCTGTTTTCTAGGTACAGCCACTGTGTTGAAATAATCCTTTTGTATTTGTACTGTTTCTCTAACTCTTGAATTAATTTAATCTCTTCGAAAGTCCTCTCCAAAAAGTACTCAGTGGATTTATACTGTTTAATGATAACAACATAAAGTTAATGTTCTTTCAGTAAGTCTGCAACAGTTTTGGTCAGTTGACAAGGTATTTCCTGCATGTATTGTAGCAGCAGATGAAAAAATAATTTCCAGCATTCTAGTGCTAATATTCCCACATTAAGAACCCATCCGCAACTATGGCTTACTATATCATTGTAGCACACTATTGTAATAGTTTGTTTTGTGGCTTTCCAGATGCATGCAGTCTCTCCCTATAATACTGTGAAATATGGCTTCAAAAATGCCTTTGTCTCTGCTGCTGATGAATGAAAAACTACTTTCCTTGCTTCTACCCTCAAATTCAGCAAAATCCAGAAGTCATTCACCTTCATGTTGTCTCTCTTCCTTTCACTTCTAAGCTTCCAAAACACATCAGTTTCTTTTGCTATTCCTTGCATGCCTTCTTTCTGGGGGGATTCTGTCTGTAAGTAAGACTTTTTATTTAACGCTTTCTTTAAGGCATGTTTTTGGAAGTAAATCAAGTGTACCTGTTTGTCCTCTCATTCTCCACCTTCATTTTCTTTTTGCTTGCTCTTTTTTTTTTAAAGTTTGAGCAGAATTGAGTTTCTGAAGTCATGGAGATGCTACCCAATGCAAATATTTTAGAACAGTCTGTGAGAACGCTATACATCTGTCAGTTACTAGAACACTGGCACATCTTTTAGGTCTGCAGCATGACCTACATTAAACCTAATTTAGTAAATAATAAAAGTGCTCTGCTTTTAGACTAAGTTTGTACTGGTATTTAAAAGGGATTTGTAATCTGCTAATGTGTTTTTTATGCAGTCAAGTTTTACAAAACAACAGGAGTTAATTAGTTAGATGTTGTCCATTTTATGAATATAGGCTTTAGAAATAAAAATTATGAACTGAAATGTACTTTAAACTTCAGAGCTGTAAATTTATCAGTCATTCTTCCTTCTGTGTTAGGTTCACCTAACTCACCTCTATTTAACCTGTATTTCTGCAAAATGTATAATTAACAATCAACTCTAGATAACTTCAGAGTTGTTTTGTGTTTTTTGCCTGTGTTGACTTTTCAGAGTCTCTCACTGTACGCTACTTTTTTATAAATAGGGTCCGTGGTTTCTAGATATTTACTGGCATTTCTACCAGTGCTTGTTTATGGTTCTCTTTAGTTTCTCTTGTGTAACGCTACTGTAATTTTTTAACTGAATCTCTACTTCATCGTCACATACGTTCTATCAGTTACGTATATTGTTTTAGAAAGATCCCTTGGGTAGCTATTCTAATTAAATTATTTTTAAAATACAGTAAGTAGAACAGTTATTTTAGTTACTGTGGCGTAAGTAGTGAACTGTCATCCCTTGTCCTCCATTTCCCAGTTACAGTAAGTTCATGCTAGTCATTGATCAGACAATCAGAATTTGCGGGCTTGTGTAAAAGAAAGGTTAAATAAACTGTTGCAGTTTCCATTATTTTCCATCATGGTTTTGCTAAATCTGTTATAAAATAAAACAATAACAGAAAGTGGTCTTTTTATAATACAGTTTATTGTGATAATGGAAAAAAGTTATGCAGGTTAATTTTGTCATAAGCTCTACTGCAGAAAAAGCTTCTGAAAATTTCTTTAAAAATTGTTTTTTTCTGCTTAAACTTTCACTCAAGCCCTAAACTGTGTCATTTTAAGATTATGCCAAGTTTAATTTTTAATGGTGATTTCCCCCCCCCCCCCC